GGCCCGGGGGTGGAGCATCTGGGAGGGGACGTTCCCCTCCCAGAGCCGGTACAGGAGGGCCCGGGACATGGAGGAGAACAGCCGGTCGCCGTCTGCGTCCTCCAGCACGTGGCTCCTCCGTGGCCGGCGGGGCCGCCTCTTCCCCCGCCTTCTCTGGGTCAGGCCTGGCTCCCTGGGGACAGGAAACGCCAGTGTCCCCTGAGTGTGGCTATGTCCCTCTAGCTGACCAGCAGCAAAAAAGTAGTCCTCCTCCGGGTAGAAAGCACTTTGAGATTTCCTCCCCAGCTGGGATGAAAACAACTCTTCTTCGTTTTCAAACCCGTCTTGCGCCTGGGTCCATTTCTGCCGGTGGCCAGGGCCCGAGCGCAAGGCGCTGGTGGCGTGAGCCCCGGGCGGTGCCTTGTTTGTGTCCATGCTCCCAGAGAGGGAGAGCTCGTGCACGGCCCCCATGATGGCTCGCTGCTTCCCCAGGACCGGCAGGAGCCTCCGGGTCTCCAGGAAGGACAGGCTGCTGGGCACAGGCTCAGCGGGGTTGCTGTCCGTGAAGTAGATGAAGATGACCAGAAACAGGAGCCCCCAGGCGAAGATCCCAAAAAGCATTCGTTGTCTCCATTGCTTCAGGTGCGGTTTCATGGCAGGCCTCTGGGTCAGCGCCTTGCGTCCTGCAGCCGCGGGAGGCAGAGGGGACCTGTAAAACAGCCAGATGCCACGTTAGCCCATGAGGGACGCTGCTCTGACATGCTGGTGACATCTGAGCTGCGTTTCCATCATCCAGGAACTACGGCTACCTACCCCACCACATCCCAGTCCTCAGCTGAGAGTCTTGGGAGATGGGTGAATGTACATTTGCAAAACCCTTGCTGGGTGACTCAGGGACACGTCTGCCCTCTACTCTGAGAGCCGCTTGGTTGGGGGCCAGCTGGACAAGCTCCCCTGTAGGAGTCTGTAGGAGCAGCAGAGCAGGGGCTAGGCACACAGGGCTCCCTTCTCTGCTCACCAGACACGAAGTCACAGCTCACACGTCTGAGAGCAGCGCAGCTGTGCCTTTCCGAGAGTCACACCCACGTCTGAGTCCTGTGGTCTCCCCAGGCCCGGAGGCTGCCCCGAACATACTAGAAGTCCACCTTGGGCACTGACAGGCAGCATGTCAGTGGCCACAGTTGCAGGCAGGCGTCATGCTAGGCTGCTGCTGACTGCAACAACACCCCTGTAATGTCCTCCAACCTCACCCCTACCACAAGGGGCTGGTGGGATAAGAGGGGAGCTTTAAATAAGGAGGGAGAGGAGAGAGAGCTTGCTGATCGTAGATGAGACTGCAGCAGAGTGACCAAGGAGGCAGGACAGAGCAAGTCGGATGTGAAGACGGAGAGAGAGAAGGAAGCGCCTCTGACAGTACTGCAGCCTGTGTTCACGGCCATGTGAGTCGCTGAGTGCTTGGTTCCAAGAGAAACAACAGAACTTTAATAAGAAGTACTCCCAACCTTCAGGAGCGTGAGCAAGTATCCAGGAAGGGGACACATAAGGTGGTAGCTGTGCACCTTCATTATTACAGAGAAAGGCAGGGACTCCCAGGAGGATTTTCTTCCTGTGGTCCCCTCATGCTGGACACAGGCATGGGCATGACGGGCTCAGCACACTCAGTGAGGTCCGGGGATGCGAACTCAGGACCTTTTCCCCGTGGGCCCCATTGTGTTACTGCGGCAGCACTGCCTGAGCTGGGATAACAACTTAGCTTGCTGAAGGTGACAGCTGGGAACAGCTGAGCACAGGAAGGCATTCCATAGATGCTGGTTGAATGAACGACGTGTGTGTGTGTGTGTGTGTGTGGGCGGGCTGTGTTTCTGCAGTTGTGCATGGCTGTGTCTGGGTGGTGCTGTTGGAAGACCATTTAGGAAAGATGTCACCAGACAGCCTCGCCTTCCAGCTGTGAGAATATCCGTTAACCAGGTCAGATTCACTCACGCCAAGAACTGACCCAAGAAGTTACACCAGAAGTGAAGTTCCTATGGGCCAAACTTACCACTTGTTTTGGATTATTTCATTTGGTTTCCCAGCACCTAATCAGACGGTAGAAAATACTGCAATATCCATCTTCTAGATAAGGAAACTGAAGCCCCGTGAGGCTAAGAAACTTGCCCACAGCCACGGAGAGAGCAAGCAGGAGACATCACACACAAAGCCATACACCGGATTCTAGGGCTCGCACTTGAACACCAAATTCTGATTTCATCCACTCACATCAGACGAGGCAGTATTTTCTAAATTAGGTTCCTCAAACTCCCTGTGGCAAAGCCCCCCCTCCCCCCCGCCACTGTCTGATTTTTCTATTTCCGTGTCAGAAGGCCTTGGCAATGGCCACCTGCTGTAAATGTCTCCAAATGCTCACTGTCGAGTTCTCCGCATACCTCTGTGGGAACCGGTACTGAGCGGTGAGTGCACATGTGTGGGGCCACACTCGGTGTTCACCCACGACGGTCAGCCCGTGCTCTGTCCTGTCTGTTTGGGAGATGGAGCTTCAAGCTGCAGTGACCAACATGGAGGTCTAGAAGCTACTCCCAATATTTCCAGGTTTGGAACAGAAATTGGAAAACTACCCTTAGAAAGTTGTTTGGTGGCCATCCCACTGAGACACTGCATTCCAATTCTGACAGTCACTAGCTGCGGCTAGTGCAGACTCCACAAGTCAGGGCTCCGTCCTCCACACAACTGCCCTTGCTTCAGATGTCAGCTGCACGAGGGGTCCCGGGCCACTCGCTCCCAACCCCCCACTACCCATTTCCAGATTCCACGGTGATGCCTTGCTAGAATCACTTGCAGAGCTCAGGAAAGTGCTACAGGGGCTGTTACGGTTTTTCTGGAAAGGATACGCGTGGGGGTACAGAGCTCTGACCCCCTCTCTGCAGAATCTGGCTGTGTCACCTCCTGGCGCATCTAAGCATTCAACAATCAGAAAGCGCAACTGAGTCTTAGTGTCCACAGTTTAATCTGTTAGAGTCTCACTAGATAGGGACCAGCAGATGGCGCAATGGTTACATCACTGCACTGCCACGTGGTCCACTGTGGTTCAGGTCCTAGGCCCAGCAACTCAGAACTCATGCTGGGCACGTGTGCGTGCTCAAGATCCCAAGAAGAAAATGGAAGAGAAGGGACTGCAGCATGCCATCACCCCCAGGGGATGATTTCTTGATTTCTAAGTCTCTGTCTCTCTGGCAGGTACACACGCCTTATAGCAAAATTTTCTCTTCAAAAACAAACAAGAGTTTCACTAGTGGGCATCATTGATGAAGTCATCCGCCACGTGACTGAGCTCGCTCTCCTGCTCTGTTCTCCCTGGAGGGCAGGCTTACGACTCCAGCCCCCAAATTCCACTTGTGTGGCTTTCACGTTTCCATCCCGCAGTGTGAAGCTGCTTAGTGGCTCCTTGACTCATGAGCTTAACAGTCCTAGCCTTCTGGAAATTCCGAGTTTAGAAGCTCCATGCCAGGGGGGACAAAGATTGGCCAGTTTTTCTTTTCCTCTCCTTCCTTCCTTCCTTCCTTCCTTTCCTTCCTTCCCTCCCTCCCTCCCTCCCTCCCTCCTTCCTTTCTCTTTCTTTCTTTTAGGTTTTTCCTATAGGACTTGTGTGCTTGTGGGGATGGGCTTACCAAAGAAAAAGAGAGAAAGTGAGAAATCACCCCCAGGGGCAATGGCCACATTGCAATCCCTTCTCCATTCTCATCTTGGGATTTGGGGCACACAGGCACACACCCCTGTGTTTTTCAAGCTGCTGGGTCTAGGACTCGAACTGTGCGATCAGCTCTGTGGGCTCCAACACCTTAACCATCAGGCCACTGCCAATCTCTTTACTGTTCTACACCAAGGCTTTAGCAGCTAGCTTAAAGGCAGTCTTCCTGCTTCTGACTGAGTCACTGGGACTTGGTTTCCCTGCACCGAACAGCTCTGACAGCTAAGGAACTCGTTCCTTATTTCGGTCTTTGTCAAAGAGATGCTCTTTGAAGCACAGAGGCAAAAAGGAGGTGTGTGCAGAGTGGCAGGAGGTGAGACTGTGAAAACAAAGCCTTACACTGCTGGGACAGAGCTAGAAACCTCTGCCTTGGGCCCAGTGCTGAGGGCCAGGGCTTCAAGGGGCTGGTGACCCCAGGGCAGTAGACTCCCGTTGCCTTAGAAAGCAGCATCAAGAAGGCAGAGGGACTTGGGACCAGCAGTTAGCGTAATGGCTATGTTGTTGGACTCTCAAGTAGTCGACTGTGGTTCACATCTCGGACCCGGTGGCTTAAAACTCACGCCAGGTGCGTGTGCGTGCGTGCCCAAGATCCCGAGAGGAGAACGGAGGAGAAGGGATTGCATCATGACCATCCCCCCTGGGGGGTGATTTCTTGCTTTATGTCTCTGTCTGTCTGGCAAGCACACGCACCCTATAGCAAAAAACCTCTCCAAAAAAAAAAAGAAGGCAGAGGGACTCGGGCTGACAAGGCAAGCCTGCTGGCTTCACGGCAGAGTTCAGAGGCTCGGACGTAAATGTCGGTATGTGAAAATGTCTAGAGGGGCCAAACAGGAGCAGCGGCAAGTGCAATGCTCTGCAAGGCAGGCCCACGAGGGAAGGTTCCAAGTTCACATCCGGAGACCTCCCTGAGTACGCCCCGCACACGCGTGCCCACGACCCAGCTGGCTGAGGGTGGGAGACTCCCTGAGTACGCCCCACACACGCGTGCCCACGACCCGGCTGGCTGAGGGTGGGGGGACTCCCCGAGTACGCCCCGCACACGCGTGCCCACGACCCAGCTGGCTGAGGTCATGGGCGGATGGCAGCATGCAAACTCTGGGAGGTATCTCTCTCTCCTTCTCTCATTCATGGAAGAAATAAATAACCTTTAAAAATTTTGAGAGACAAAGACATGCCTAGTTCCCAGCTGAAGAGACTGGAGGCCTTGTTAGCCATGGAGATAAGACAGGAGGGGGATGACAGGATGTCTGAGAATACCGAGAATAAAGGGGAGCCTGCGGGTTAGAGGGGCCTGGGCTGGGCACTGAGAGCTCGTTCTCTGCCTGCAGGTCTGGGCACCAGGAAAGACAAGCGTGCCCATGCGGGCTCCTGGCACACGGCAGTAATAAGGGGCAGGCTGGCTGCCTCCACTCGTGATTAGGCTGCAACTTTTCATAACCCAAAGTCCCTGCTGCAGCCTCTGGAGTGGCGACCCTTCTGCTGCCAATTAAGGGAACATTCTCCAAAATGATTACATCGCAAGGCAGCAGCAAATTCTGTGCTAGCGAAGCACTGTGGAAGTCGCCATCCGGATGGCGGGTCTCCGGTGAGCATCTTTGTAGGAAATCCGGGCTAGAGCTGTGGGTCACTTTCCTTGGCATGACCACACAGCCTAATGGGAAGGTTTGGATGAGTTCTAGAAAGGCATTCCCTTTTCTCTAACAGAGTGCACCTGAAATATTGCAATGAGGTGGCTTACACCAAGTCATCTTTAACCTTCACTGCTCGGTCCCTTCAGCAGCTGGTGTGACATAAATGGCATCAGGGAGGTAGAAAAGCCCCATCTGGCAAGTCATCTGTCCCCAGGGGCCGATGGAAAAGGGCTCCCGAATCCCACCTTCATGGGTGCTCTGTGGAGGATGTTTTTCAGTGATGGAGCCTGTGGGGTTCTTGCTGGGTTTGCCCTGGGAGGAGCTCAGGCAAGA